CTATCTGTCTATCTGTCTATCTGTCTGTCTGTCTGTCTGTCTGTCTTTATATCCGTCTGTCTGTATAAAATCTAAAAAAGCAACCAATTTAATTTTATGTTTGGGGTTTAAGTTCATTTGTTGTCTTAGAGTAGACTGCTTTAAAAAAAAACAATAGAAGTTTATAGTTTGTCCTTATTTAATTAGTTAAGTAAATGTGTGTGTGTGTGTGTGTGTGTGTGTGTGTGATATCAATGTCTTCCTGCATCCTGGCGCTGGTGAAAATGATCCACGGGTGAATTTGCAACCTTTACAGTTTTTCTCAATTGCTTTGGCACATTTTTCGAAACAATCTTAACATTCTCTAAACTGTGAGTGCAAATGTCACAACTGTTTGCTGGAAACTGTTTCGGGAAAAAAAAGTTTCATTCGAGAATTGAGCCAAAGCAATTGAGAAAAACTGTAATTGCAGTTAAACTACAACAGAAGCGATCGATAAGAGCCTGCTAACTATATCAGCCTGTGAGCGCGCACACCTTGAGCTCTCCTCTTAAACACCTCCAAACTGTCTTTCTCTTTATTATCACCTGTCTTTCTCATTCTGTGACTTTTCTCTTTGAGATGGGCAAGAATGAGAGCTTTCTCTTTCTGCCTTTTCCTCTGGGACGTGTCAGATGATCCAGAGAAGGCCGGAGTGGCTGATTGATCGTGGGAAGTCTTGCACATTCATCTCTGTTGCTGCCGTTCGGCCGATGGCCGCCTCTAACCCGCTCTCTCTCTCTCTCCAGTGCTGGGCTAAAAGGTAATTAAGAGCAGCTCTCCGCACGGATCTATCAGTGTCAGAATGTGTCAGCGGCCGCGGAGGACTGCGGCCTGATTTGTTGTCCCACTCTCAACGGCACAGGCGACATTTTACATCATCATTTATTCAGGCACTGCTGATGTCACGACCTGCTTCGTGCTGATGTTTCTTTGGAGAAACCAACTTCACCAGAACTTCTCTTGCCTCAGGAAAGTTTTTTGCTCAGTGGTTGCTCTTTACAGTAATAGCTCACTGATGTTTTCATTTGTATTTTATTGAAGTATCAACTTAAAAAATAAATAAAAATATAGTCAGTTGTTGTCATGCAGTAAAAGTATAGAACTATAAAATGAGTTTGGAGAGCAACTGAGATTATTTGATCTTGAATGAGAAATGTTTGAGTTCATATTGAGATCATTGCATTTTCTTTGCAGGTATCCTGGCAAATCTGAGCGCAGTTTGAGACATCACTGAGATCTCTTCTGAAACTGGGGTCTTTTTCTGCAGAAGAAACATCTGAGAAGAAAATTCTCCATTTGCTCTCACTTTAATCTCATTGCTGTCTTGGAGAAAGTTTTGTGGCTTGTTCTATATATTAGTCTACACTGTTAGTCTACACAATTTTCTCTCAAAAATTGCTAGTAAATTTCACTGTTAATTACAAAGAAAGTTTTAAATGTAAAATTTTGAAGTAAAAAGACTGAAATAGCATTTTCTTGTAAAACGTCCTTCAATAATGTTTTACCACTTTTTATTTTTTGCAGTGTATAAAAGTTGACAAAGTTCACACTCTTTCTTTCTTTAATTTTTTTTAGAAGAAACAGCCCAAAAATATTGATGACATCATCCTGCACTCTAAATTTTTCTCCAATAAAATGCTCTCTTGAAAGAGAGCCCCTCCCCATAAGTTTGAAATATGACCCACCTTTGATTAACTAACTAACAAACTGTTTGTTGATGTGTCTTTATTGGTTGCTTTATTAATTTGTTCAGTATTTGTGAAGGATGTGGCCTCGACTTTTGATAGGCCTATGTCCCGCTCCAACTTCCTGTTTCAAGGGGAAGTATGTCAGCACTGAGACGAAAACTGCTCTTCATTTCATTTAGTCATTTGTGATTTTTATTTCTGACAGGTAGGTCTTATCCTCTTGTTCTTCGGACCCAAACCTGTCAAACAGTAAATTAATGGCTTACTGACAATGAGGTAATAATTCAGTGCTGGTTGACACTCATGACATGTCAAATTGAATAAGTTGTCGAACTGGCAGATAAGGATAATAAATCATTTTAAACTCTAATTATTTTCCCTTGTTTACAATTTAAACCACACAGAAAGTGCTTGCACGTACAGTTAATCGCTGTTGAGCTATTTGCATATTTTCTGTGTTGATCGTGTTCAGAGATGTTTTTGTTTTTCAAAGTTTTTAGCATCCTATTTATTGTCGCGATACATATCATTAAAGAAATACAGCAGAACAGCAGCATTTTTAATCATTAAAAACACAAAAACACATCCCCTAATTGCTGTTTTTGTCAGCATATCTTCTAAAATGTCACATTTTCGTCCCGTTTCTGCTCTGAGTACAGCTGAATAATTTAGTGCTGAATGAGGAGCGCCACTATCTTATGAGGCGCAAATATTAATGCCCGCACATGCTGTGTTAATTAAGAAAACCAATTAATACAGGCAGCTTAAATCCTGTAATAGAAGACGTATTTCTCACCCGTCCAGCCAGAGATGAGAAAGGCTTGTGTATTCCGTACCATAATCTTGACATTCAGGGAACCTTTGTTCTCTGAATCCATTGTGAATTATGTCAATCAAATTTAAACGGTGGCATTTTGGGCTGGAGCGTTTCGACCGCGTGGTCTTCAGGTATCAGCATTCGCCCGCGCATTTGACTGAAGGTGAAGTAACTTAACCCACCGCGTTCATGTTCACATTCACAGCCGAGTGGCCTGGCGCTGAGCTAAACCCGTGGATGATTTCAGAGGCTGTTATCATTTTGAGTATTGAACACTTCTAGTAAAGGTGAAGTCGGACAGAATGAGGCCTGTGCTGTATTGATCCCGGTTCAAGTTTGGATATAAGCTGTGAAATAGCGCAAATCAGGAAAGAAATCCTGTTCACTAGATGTTTTATCATCATATTTCACAGACATTTAAAGGAGACATATTATGCCCCTTTTTACAATATGTAATATAAGTCTCTGGTGTCCCCAGAATGTGTCTGTGAAGTTTCAGCTCAAAATACTCCACAGATCATTTATTATATAATTTTGAAAATGCCTATTTTGAGTGGAAGCAAACAAGCTGTTTTTCGTGCCTGTCTCTTTAAATGCAAATGAGCTGCTGCTCCCCACCCTATTTTCCAGAATAGAGCTGAGCCATTACAGCTTGGACCTGCTACAAAACATCTGTTTTGGTTCTGATTATCATGTTTATCGCGCTGAAATCATGCGTTTTAAACCATATGAGTTTAAACTTCAGATATAAGGTTTTCTGAGAGCACACATCCGAAGCACACGGACAGAAAGCGGCTGTCACAGCATGTGAGTACTAAACTAAGTTCTCATTCACACACAAGTTTATGTTAAAAACACACGAGTTACAAAAACAGTCGGTTATGTCTGTGAAGGTAAACAGCTGGGAAATAAATCGCATGTTTATTTTAGATCTGTGTGGCAGCAGCAATATACATTAAATAAATCAATAAATCCACTGCTCTGTTGTGTCCTCTGAGGCTGGGACTCTAAATAGTGTGTAATTCTGTGCTCGTCTGTTCAGACAAAGGCAGAACAGTTACCATGTTTTGCTCAAACTTTCGCCATGGCATTACACCGTTATCGCTTGCGAAATCAAAATAATGGTGCCGTGGGTGTAAACTTACAGATTAAGGGGTGGTAATATTATAATGAGATCCATTTGCCACGTCACCAAGGGAGCTAAATCAGACACGCTCGTTTTTTCAGAAGCTTGCAGAAAAAGGCTTCCCGAAACAAAGTTACTGGGTTAATCTCTTTCACGTTTCCTTGGTTGGTGGTTGCAGCAGGGACCTGATTATAGCACTTAAAACATGGAAAAGTCAGATTTTCATGATATGTCACCTTTAAGAAAAGATAACAGCCTGAATACACAGTGTATTTGACAGCACTTTCTATGAATCATTAATTGTATATGTATTTAGTATTTACACTGTAAGAAAAAAAGAGTGCATGACATATAAATATTTTAAAATAAAATTAAACAGCTCATAATATATATGGTTTAGCACTTGTTTTGCCAGAGGACTGGCAACACGTACAGTAGCTGACGAACCATCATATTCTTTCTGGTGAAGCTGTTCAACCAATCTAGTCTTGCTGGTTAATATAGTTAGTAAGCCTGGTGGAAAAACTAACAAACCAGTGTCTTTGAGTTCTGTCATTAGTTTCTTCTTTATAAAGTCCACTTTGCTAATTAAATTGCTAATTTTAACCAATTTAACACTTAATTGGCAAAACAAGCTATTATGTTCACAGGAGTTGCACAACAACCAGTCTTTAGAAAGTTCCTGGTATTATGTTTGCCTTGCATCAGGTTAGCAATTGATCCTGAAGTCTAAATGGATGCTGTTTTGCACACAAACATCATGCCCAAGTGCTAATTTAGCATCCAGGCATCTTATTTTATTAGTAGAACATAAATGAATATTTATTGAATTATGAATTACTCGCTTGAAAAGCTGAAAATTGAAATGGAACTGTACCCGAAAGAAATAATGACAACACAATTCAGGAGGACAGAACGTGTGGTATTTAATTAAAACACATGTATTTCATTAAAACACCTTCATAATTCATTTCTCAGCAAACTCAAGACATGCATGAAGTAATAATGAAAAGGCAAAGGTGAGTGAACTTCTGACTGTTAAGTTGTGCTCGTACAGCTTTGATGAAAAACTAATATGAAGTATCTCAAACAGATGTTGGAAATGGCATAAGTTAAAGCCCTATATTACTCTGATCAGACTCACATGGCAGGGCAATTCGGATTGCTTCCCCACTAACTGTAATTACAAACCAGCAATAGTAGAATGATCTGGTACATTTCAGCATTTCACAAAAAATATCTTCAGAACAACCCACAAAGTCCCATAAAGATCTGCTTTTGACAGTGGTAGTTGCCCTAAGTGCAGATCTGTGTGAGTTAATGCTCTTCCTCATGAATTCCATAAGCATGTGTGTGAGTTGTTGACCTACAGATGAACATTCCTCTATCATGAACAGAGCGAACAGTTGTCAAAGAGCTGAACATGGAAATGCATAGCAGAGTGATTTTGGACATTCATTCAGCCTCACCAGCAAAAGGCCCCAGTCCTCAGAAGAACAAATGGCGGACTGTTTTGCATTAAAAATAAAAGTTCAATGCACTGGAAGTACAATTTAAGGTTTCTGTTTTTGTTCTTTCATATGTTCTTTAGAAGATAATCTATGTTCTGGTTTTAAAAAATCTCCAAAGAACAGCAATTCAAGAACCAAATAGCTATTAATCAAGTTGAGATGTTTGCGTTGTAGAGATCAAAGGTTAATTTCATGTATTGTATTACTTAAGTTCGTAAAATTCATTCATTTTCAGGCTGTTTTGTTCATTTACCACAAAACTACCACGTCTAGTTTTAGTTTGATTTTGTGTAAAAGTCTTTTTTACAAGTATGAAATGTTCAACATTTTCAGTATCTCACACAATGTCCTCTGTTGTATACGTCACTTTTTGTCAAATGTTAGGGTAATCTATGCAGACACAAAACTCACATGCTGTGTCAAGTCAAATCACCTTCATTTTTATAGTGCTTTATTCAGTAGAGATTGTTTCAAAGCAGCTTTAGTAACTGAATCAAACTGACGCAAACTTCAAACAGGAAGCAAATCCAAAATTCGAGACAGTAGTGTCATTATTCAGTTCCAGTCAGTCCAGTGTTGGTTCAGTTCAGTTCAACAACTGTATAAAGTTCGTTCTTTATGAAACAAGTTCAGTTAAGCAATAAGATGCCCTATTAAAGACAGTAGTATCGTTATTCAGCTTGCACAGCTTCATGTTATGTGAATAGTACTGTCATTATTCAGTTCCAGTCAGTCTAGTGTTGGTTCAGTTCAGTTCAACAACTGTATAAAGTTCGTTCTTTATGAAACAAGTTCAGTTAAGCAATAAGCTGCCCTATTAAAGACAGTAGTATCGTTATTCAGCTTGCACAGCTTCATGTTGTGTGAATAGTACGCTGAACAAAGCTATAGTGTTGATGCAGAACATTCTGGGTTTGAACCTTTCCCCCAAAACAGAAGATATCAAATGACTTGCACTTTCCTGGAGACAAGTACGTCCTTGGATGTTTCTGCATGTGCCTCTTGTTTTTGCTCTGTCACACTGAACCCTGCTGGACCTCATTATAGCTAATCGTCCATCTGTCCATCCCTCAAGGGTCGGCCAACATTCCCTCAACTACGGCCAGTCGGAATGACAAGAAGACAGTTTTTTGGACATGCTTCCTGGCTTGTGGTTTGTCAATGCATGAGGTTACAACACAGTGGGGTCAACAGCCTTTTTGCTTCTTGGACTCCTAAAATTGCCACATGGGGTTCGAGCAGACGTGAGTTCATTCATCTCAGATCCCGTTCCCTGAGATCTGGCAGGCTGTGAAAAGGCCGCATCTGCTTGAATTCTCTCAGCATGGAGCGAAGTGAAGCAGTCGTTTACGCATTTGTTTTTCAGATCTGGTTCCAATTTAAATAAAATATTCTCTACTGGATGATAATTAGAGTTACTAGGTCAACGACATGCAAAGGAATGGTTCAACACAGGAACGTGTTGTCATTGGGTGTGCTTAATCTTGAGATGCCCCTGACAAAACGTTATTAAAAGAATTGTTGATTCATTTAATTGTTTAGCAGATATTGGCTGAAATGTTTTTGGGTGTGGTCCATAATGAGTAATCGACCTGTATCTTGTGAGAACAATGTTCAGACTTCACAAAAGTTGGCATGCATTGACTATGGGACATTGTGAGGAAATCTGCCAAATTGCATGTACTTCCGATACTTTGGTGGGAAACCGCAATTTCTCAATTATGAGCCATTATTTCAAATGTAAATAATAGATGGATGCTGTAATATTAATGTTGTGCATTAGACAGGAAATCCTTTTAAGTCGAATCAACACTTTAAGTCTAATGTGAATGTGAAGTTTTCTGAGTTCCTTTTAAAAGTTAGTTTGGGAACTCTTTGGGAACTAGCATCTTGTAAGTTGCTTCATGACACCCACACTGTATAAAATTATTGTAATTTTAACGGTAAAAGTCTGTAAAAATATGGCAAAAGCCTGTTAATTGGTTAATGGTAAGTTCCCTTAGTATATACAGTATATGATGAAAAAATTTTGTAAATCTATTAAATAGCTGCTAACATTTATTACTAATAAATAAATATTAGGATTTATTAATAAATTAATTCTAACTGCTAGGCCACGGCTTCAACATCTGCTTTACTGGCAGTGCGCTTCAACTTTAATCTGCTCTGCTAGCAGTTTTTCCACTTTAGCTCAAGTGCTCGAGCTTATTTTGCGTACTGACAGTTTTTTTTTCCTGTGAAGATTATGCTCTATAACATCCCTACGGCAAAAGGTCACAAGTTCTAAGTAACTATGCTTTTACAGTTTTTCTCAATTGCTTTGGCACATTTTTCGAAAACATTCTCTAAACTGTGAGTGCAAATGTCACAACTGTTTGCTGGAACTTCAGAACTTTATTGCATGTCTGCAAAATGTAGTTACTCACCCAAAACATTTCATTCATGCTTCAAACCCTAGTTATCGTGTCAGTAATTTGGCCAAGGCCACCAAAATATAAAGTATTTTTGTCATCGTGTGAGCCACACTGGTCAAAATGTTTAGTTGTTTTTTCACCATGACAGTCAACCATGGAAATGAAGGTTTTATAAAAATCTGATATTTGTTGAGAAGAGTCAATAGTACATAGAAAATAAAGTATATGAACATTTGTATTTGAGCCAAAGCAATTGAGAAAAACTGTAATAATCCATTTCCTGCCCCTTGACGATCCAGTTGATTTCTGGAGTCTATCTTCCATGGCACTCTTCTTTCCTCATGTCATTTGCGCTTCATTTCTCGGTAGCAGATGTCCTGTAAAATCTCCCAGGACGCTGTTGATAAACTCTTTCCATTTGCTATCAGCATTCCGTCACCTTCATTACCTGCCTATCTTCGCTTTGGTGCACGAATCATTTAATTTGTCATGCAGAGCGTCTGTAGACATGTGTTATGGCGCAAGTGGAGCACGATGGGAGCTGCAACAAACAGATGGTTTGATGATTTGAGATACCTGTTTGCCTTCTAAACCAAAACCTGCTCAGAAAGTATGCACTGTTATGATGCTGAATGATTTGAGGCTTTATTAGATTTCTTAGAAACTGGTTTTCCTTCACAGACATGACCTTGTGGTTACTACACATGTGCTGTGAGTAGGCAATGTGCTGGTGACCCGAGATTGAATTATATATCATAAAATCGAACATAATGCATACTTGCTTATGTTTCCGGCCTTAGGCACGCATATGATATACAGTCCTATATGGTCACAGTACTTATTCAGTGACTCATGGGAATAACCCCTCACCTCACTTCAGGCGTCTGGTTTCATATTCCACATCCTCATAATGGATCAATAAACATCCAGATCATTTTCAACCCTCTTTTATAGACTCCAAAGTGAACCAGGTCACAAACAGACACATACCTGGACAGACTGTTAAGCTCTGAGGGGTTTCGCTTCAGTTTGTGGAGTTCATGCGAGTCCATTAACAGATTGACACTTTAAGCATGTCTCTGAAAGTTGATAATCAGCTGTGGGCCACATCATCAGCGCTATTGATTCAGTCAGTGACAGCGACACCCAGCGTTAGCCAATACTGTCACAAACCTGGATTAAAACGCACTCAGTGTAATTTCATGGGTAGATTCCCTTTCACCCCTCGGCTGTAAGTTTCTCAAATAATACTGATCAGTCTTTCTGTACATACTCATTTATCACTCAAGCATCTCCTGGTCAACAGGACTGTCCATTCAGATATATGTGGGTGATTCTATAATTGGAGATACATTTGGCATTTCATAAAGTTAAGAGAAAAAAAAACTCTTCACTAACAGAAATTCTTTCCAGTATCTTATTGAAAACATATTCAATTTTAATAATTCAGTGCTTGCCAAACACAAGTTACTTCCATTTTTTACTTTTAATGAAAAAACAGATGTCTTTATTGTATTGTTTGTCAACTCTGTTACGGACAAATTAGCCAATGTGCAGAAATAACAATAAATCATAAAAGGAAAAATCCTTCTTGTATCATTAGACAAACAGTCTTTATATTCCAACATTTGGAACTGAGATAATATTTGACCTATGCATACCTTTAAAATAAAAAAAATACCTATGTCTTCACAGAATTGTCCGCTTGGAGCAAATAGTTTTCATCTGAAAATGTATTATATACAATATCCAGTAAAAATAGAGAAATGTTGTTGAAATATTAAAAGGGTGCATCATATCTCAATAATGTTTATGAGATTTTAAACAACAATTGTATATTTTTTACCATCCATTCCATCGGACAGTTCTGTCAATTCTGTTACCACATTGTCAGCATTGTTACTCTACCTTGGTAACAGAGTTTGACTAACATAATTGACAATTTTCTTTATTTTTTGCCAAAAACTCCACTTACTAGCATAAATGCTAAGAGCACATGGCGCTAATGAAATCATGATTAAAATACCTTTAAATAACCCAATTTGTGATCAGTAATACATTTTGTTTTCTTTTTGATATTGTGGTAACAGCGTTGACGTTCTTCAAAATAACTCTTGGTATAAGAACTTTTTAGATTAAAATATTTTCTTAGAGAGAGCACACAGACTTTTCAGTGCTTCAGATCTTATCAGTGAGGGAAAGTGTCATAATTTCCTGTATCTTACATAGTTGTGGGAGATAATTCCACCAATCTAAAGGCAAAATATGGTACGGTAACAGAGTTGACGCAAGATTTATGGACAAACATTTTTATAAGAAAAAAGTTATTTTTAAACAATTTAATGTTGTAGAATTAAGTAAATTAGTATTTAGGGATTTTATAAATACAATTAATGAAATATTACAAAAAGAAAAGTATTTTGATTACACAATGATACATGATGGAAAAAATGCACTGACTCATTCGGACAACAAGAAAGCATGATTTTGAGCTATTTAAGACACTTTTTACACAAATTATAATGTTGTTATTGACTGTAACATCTTGTAATTCATAACAATAAGTAACAAATTATTAAAATATAACCATTTGAAAAAAAGCAGAAAAAAATAATGACTTCGTACACCAAATGTACCTGCAATTATAGAATCGCCCATGTAATAACTGTGCATCACTTTGATTATGTAGCTTGTTCTGACATTAGTAGCTGTAGTGTATATTTATGGTCTCATCATGGGGAATTTTTATTGCATTATCTAACAAAAGGAAATATACACAGTAATTTACAGAAAAAGACAAAAGAATAATATTAAAACAAAATGATACATAAAGAGAAATTTTAAAAATGACATAATTATTCTAATATAATAATACAGATTACGTAAAATATACAAAATACATAATTTTAATAAGAATAAATAAAAACGTTTTTGTTTTAATGTGAATAATAAAGTGCAGAAATAATACAAAAGGAAAATGAAATACAGTTTTGACATTAAAGAACAAAAGGTAAAACAAATTGTAAATAATAATAATAATAAAAACTCTATAATTCATAATAAAATATATGATGCATAACGATATGACAGTAAAATCACAATAAAGATATGCAATGTTATAATAATATCGCTCACTCTCTCTCTCCCTCTCTCTTAAGAAATGATCGGGTCAGTGATGCTCAGACAGACAGTGGAGCACTTGGATGAAGGCTTCGTCGCAGTGTGCAGCGTTCATTCCCGACGCGTCTGTCTACATCTGAACCCCCTGGACGAAAGGGGACTATATAACTTACAACGGAAGACTTTATCTGATATGGAAACGCGTGCCGTGCTGCATTAATTAAAGAAGGGGACATTTTAGTGATGCCAACATCCAGAGAGCATCTGTGTTGTAGTTCGTACCAGCGCGTGTGGTGAAGTTGGATTTGCGGATCGCTTATTGTATCGAGCTTGAAACACAATCCGAGCCGTTCTGACACCGCGGATGTTTCGGTGTTGTGTATGGATGTGAAGACATTCTCTTTACATCGAGCGATGCGTTTCTGTCGTCTCTGACATTTTACGGGGATGTATGCAAATATCATCGCGCTTGTTTTTATGTACATTTCGCTGATTCGACTGGAGATGAATTGACGGTACTCGCGCCTTATTGTAGTGAAGATCCTGAGGAGTTCGGAGGAATAAATGCTTATATTGCCAGAATAATCTGTAACCGTTTGTATTTTTGGAGCTGAGTTATTTACTGTTTTTTTTTTTATAGCTAGTTTGAGGAGCCAAACTGTGCGTCATGTGGTGATATATAACTTTACAGGCTTTATTCAAGTCAGAAATATGATTTATTATGACTGAATCAATCTGAATACACCTTACATCAAACGAACGGGTTAAATCGAGTAGAAATAGGACCCATTTAACTTTAAATTGCACAAACTTGCAAAATAACCATCATGAAGATGTTGCATGGGTCGTTGTAACTGCTTTTAGCATCTATATAGTGTCACTAGGTCCATCTATGCACCTCCTCATAAAGATCAGCTGAGCATCTAAGGGCTTGAAGTTCTTCCATCCTTCTAAATATTACTTCATTCAAATATACTTCATTCAAAGAGCTTTTAAACTTCAAGAAACATGGATATTAAAACAGAGTCTGAAGACAATCTGGACTGCGACCAGCCCGCGCCCATTGAAGTTTTTGCCAGCAGGTCCACGCTCCATGGCATCTCGCACATGTTCAGTTATGAACGCCAGTGCATCAAACGATGCATCTGGATAATGTTTTTCATGGGTTCGTTTTCGTTCCTGGTGCTTGTTTCCGTGGACCGCATCAAGTTTTACTTCCAGTACCCCCATGTCACCAAGCTGGACGAGGTCACGGCACCAATGATGGCGTTTCCCGCCATTACCTTCTGCAACCTGAACTCTTTCCGCTTCGGCCGCGTGACGCGCAACGACCTGTACCACGCGGGCGAGCTGCTCGCGCTGTTAAACGGCAGGTGAGTTGTGTATCCAGTTAAACACACTTTAAAAGGAGAAAATGAGAAGGACAATGGTTGTTTAATAACAGCCACAGAACAAACGTGTTACTAGAGAGATTTTACTCAGATATGATTAGTTTCTGTGGCAAGTTAGTAACGCTATAATTGAATCCACGTGCGTTATTATTGTTGTTGGTGGTGGTGGGACAATACATCACGACTACATTATTCTTATGTTTTTAGAAAAATATTTAAAAACTAAAAAGTGCACCAAGAAACATTGGTTTTAAGGTAATGTAAACAGAAATGTAGTGACTACTAACGGTTGTCACCATTTTCTTTGATTTTATGTGAAGCCACAACTGTCAAGCTCTAGAACTTAATTCAGGGAACATGTAAGCAGTTTTATAGCAGCTAATACGTTTGTTAATTCTGGCAAAATATCGCACCATGAACCCGGAGATTGTTTCTTCATTTAGTTCCCTATTTGAGCTTTTCATAGTTTTTCTGTTATAATTTATGAGGACCAATTGTAAGCTCAAAGACCCCAAAAGATTTGTTTGGATATGTTAAAGGTTATATTTTGAATAATATATACTAATATATATTCTGAGTTATTATAGCCTACATACTTACATATTACACCAAGTTTAGGGAAGCATATATTTTATATTTTTCAACCAATGTTGTGGTTCCATAACATTTGATAAGGTTTGTCTCAACACTGTCTGATTGAGAACTTAAAAGAAACGATTTTGCCTTTTATTTACTCTGGTTTACTTTTGTGGCATTTCATATTTGAGCTGTTTTTCTGAGCTAATTGGAGGTGGTATTTGAAAGATTTTGTATTGGTTGAAGCTTATATTGTGAATATTACACTATTTAATATTACTCAGATGGTTTTGAAAAGCAGTCTCCTAGCAAACGCATGGAAACAGAAATGATCTTTCGTTGTTGACTTGACAGAGATAAATTATCTGTTTTATCTCAAGTCTGTATGATTCTCTGAAGTCTGACTATTGTTTGTCAGAATTTGACTGTAGTCATACACTCCTTGTAATTCAATCCAAATCGGTATTTTAGCTTTGATGGGAGTTGAAAACATAAGCTGTAAACATTCTGCCTCGTTGAAAATGAGAGGAGAGTTAGAAGGTTGACTTGCCTGTCTGCAAATGAAAAATTATTTCATCCCCTCAGGTGTTGAAAGCCCCAGCGAGGACTGAAGTGAATCATCATTGATTCGATGTAACTGATAACACCATGTGTTGTGCTTGTGGCGAAAGTGCAGCCATTAGAGAAGCAGAAGTTCTGCTCTGAGTTTGGATTCTTCTCTCAGGACTGTGATTGTCACTCTGCGATCAGAGCTGCTCCAGAACTCATTGAACACATCAGTGTCTCTATTGGCAGTACAATCGGTCTCATCGCTTTTCAATAACAACACATTTGGCAGGAATGAATAATTAATGTCAGGTTTAGATTTTCATTGAAAAGTCATGCTCAACTAATATTCACTTGGCTAGATTACCTTTTGGACGTATATTGCATTTGAAGGCTTTCTGGTGTGCTGTTTATTCATGAATAAACAGCTCATATGTCAGTTCCAGATTGAAGCTACATGCCTGTTCTTTGACATTTTGGTTTGGTCTGTTCATATAAGCATTTAGGGTTCTGAAATGAGCCAAGTTTGGGGTCAAAACAAACATAAGACTTTGGGTGACGTTCTAGCAAGTGGAATGTGGCTGTTAATTTATGTTTATGCTCTTGAGTGTAGATTTTGGTGTCTTGTGGAGACACAATGAGACATTTTTCTCAGAAGAATCATCTTACACGAAGAGGACAGAAAACATCTCCACTTACTCCCCATTTAACCTCACTGTTGTGTAGGAGAAATATTTTAGATATTTTTCTATCCTGAAATAATTTCAGTGTAACATATAAGGCATAGAAGAACTTTTGGTTAGCTCATCAGTCTGTTGTTCGCATATTTTCCTCTATAAAGGCATCGCTGAGGTAACGTGACTACAGATAGCACATAGCAACCAACTGGAACCCAATTGCCATGGGAACTGGGAGAGCATCTAGGCAAAGTTTCCACTACTAACTCCTTGCTTGCAAACACAGCCAACTATTTGACTCAATGGCCAGTCAGATGAACAATTTGCATACTATATTTCCTAAATAGTATATAAGATTAGGGTAAAAGCAATCCACATAGAAGCAGCAATTTGGGTTCCCCAAAGAACAATTTTTTTCTTAGTGTGAAGAACATTTTAAAAATCTAAAGAGCCTCTCTCTCTCTTTTTTTTTTTGCTGTAAAGGACCTTTTATGGAATGGAAAGTTTCCTTGGATGTTAAAGGTTCTTCATGGAACCACTGATGCCAGTAAACAACCTTGGTTTTTGAGGGTGTTTACATGACAACAATATACTTAAAATGGAGAAATTGTTCCTTGTGTTTTTGAGAAATTTTGCATAGAGGTGACAGTGTTGTCAAATAGATCCCTGTTCACACGGATCCATGAAAACGAGTAAACACTCTGGCTTATTCATGCCAGGCCAGTAGTTGGCGATGTCATTTTGTAAAGATACACGCACCTGCACACATACCTATAGACTGAACACGTAATATGCATACGCGTGACATCACAGTTTTCACAATTGTGCATTTTTTAGTTTACATGGAGATTAATCATTTTCAAAAACTTGCACTTTGAAACACGCTTTCAAAAGTTGCCGTTTCCAGGCCCTCAAAACGCTGTTGTCGTGTAAACGAATGATCAAAACGCACAAAGTTTTTTGTTGAAAATGGTGCCATGTAAATGCCCCCTCAGTGCAGTTAATTGGTGAGGAATGTACATGATCCTAAAAGTGAAGTAAAAATGACTTAAGGCAATGAATTTAGGTAGATTCTAATGCTTGCATGAAAACGCAAACCATATGTTTCAAAAAGGGGGTATGCGGTATCAAGTATCAATATCACAACAAAGCATCACAGTACTTTCCCTTTACTTGTAAAGTATGTATTTACATTGATAGTGTAGTTATATTAGGATGCAACCAGCTATGAATTATCAGTATTCGTGCTATTGTTTGAAGATTGTACTTGTGATGTGGCCTTGAGTAAGATGCAGTGACAGCTCAGGTAGATAGTTATCGTGGCGTGACAGGCAGAACTTTCCTGCTTTATTCTCTCTGGGATTCATTAGCAGATGTCATCACGACGCCATTGAGTCTATTAGAGAAGCTTCACTGACGATCACATTCACAGGCAAAGCAAAAGTGATGCTCTTAAATTTAAAATACCCTCAGTCCACCACGCTTTAGTCTGTCACATCTGAGCAGCGTTATATGTTAATGATTCCAAATACACTTTACTTAGGAATTGTGTGTGTGTGTGTGTGTGGAAAAATTAAACACTTTTTTGCATCTATTTCTTGACTCGTTGTTTGATTAGCCTAGACAGACAAAAATTATTCAACACTGAATGTTAAATGCAAAACTAGAAAGTTTCTGAAGAAAATGTGCTTGTTCTGATAATGTTGCTGCTTCCAGGGTTCCGAGTGGTTTTATCATGTGGCTATGTGGTTGCTGAGATGTTCCAAGTGGTTTTATGTTGCTGTGTGGTTGCTAAGGTGTTCTATATGGGTTTTCGTGTGTTTTTATGCAGTTGCTAAGGCAGTCTTGAGTGGTTTTTATCATGTTGCTACATGGTTGCTTAGGCATTCTGAGTAGTGGTCGGCCGATATTTGACATTTTTTAAATATCGGCATCGGCCGATAAGTTTTCTGTTTGTCCGATGTGTTCGAGGCGGGACTTTTATTTTGACGGCGCTGAGAACAGCAGTGCCTGAGGTGCACACAGTGCTCACATTCTCCCTCTTGTTTGCTGTTGTCGTTAACAGTCGGATCCAGTTGTGAGATCTTGTGAAGTGTGCATGTGTATCATGCATGATCGCGTATGCTCTGCGTGACGGTCGATCCGTGTGAATCATATGGCGCTTTTCCACTGCGTGGTACGACTCGGCTCGGCACGGCACGGCTCGGTTTGCGTTTCCACTACAGTTTAGTACCGCTTTAGAGTGGGCGGGATTATTCACATGTCGTTATAGTTGTGCCGTATTTGAAAAAATAAGAAAAAAAAAGATTCACATAAACTTCCCAGAATACTGAGTGCTCTGTTGGTTACAGTTTACTTCCTTTTTAATTATATTTTTATTAAATACTTTGTCATCTAAAGTATAAGTATGTTTATTTTACAAATTAATTTAATCAATTTTCAAATGATTTCATATTTCTTAAATATTAATTAAAATAAATAAAATAATATCGGCTTTATATTGGTCATCTGCCACCCTGCTTTCCAAGATATCGACATCGGCTGTCAAAAAAACAATATCGGTCGACCACTAATTCTAAGTGGCCTAATGTTGACATGTGGTTGCTAAGGTGTTCTGTGAGGTTTTAGTGTGTTGCTAAAGGCGTTCTGTGTGACACTTATGTTGCTATGTGGTTGCCAAAATGTTCTGAGTGTTTTTCTTTGTTGCTGAGGTGTTTTTTTCATCATGTTGCTAACGCGTTCTGAAAGGATTTTATCGTGTTATGCAGTCGCTAAGTTGATCTGAGTAGTTTTAGTGTTTTGCTATGTGGTTGCTAAGGCCTTTATTATGTTGCTATGCAGTTGCTGAGGTGTTCCAAGTGGTATTAGTGAGTTGCTAAGGCATTCAGAAGGGCTGTCATCATGTTGCTATGTGGTTGCTGAGGCTTTCTGAGTGGTTTTAGCATGCTAAGGTGTTTTTTTCTTGGTTGCTAGGTGGTTGCTTACTGTCCTAAGCCAAAAAAAAATTAAAAATCCTAATAAGTCCTCAAGATATGGTTCTGTCCCCTCCCCCCTTCTTTACCATCTGTTTGGTGAAATCATTTTTGAAAGACTGCAGCCGTAAATGTGAGTGCTAGTAGTAGTGATGCTGTATTTATATAGCGGTGCAGTGTAGTGAGGTCATGTGATTACTGTGATTATCTT